ACTCCGGTCCCTGGCTATGGGCCTAGAACAGTTCCAAGATCACAATTGAAATCGCAATGTAACCGATGACGAACCTGAGCAGTGGTGGTGGAGAAGCGTCGCGGAGAAGGGAATTGAAGAGAAAGAGGGAAGAGTTGGGAATGAGTAGTCGTCTGAGTGATGGAAGAGTTGTTGTTTCCGGTGATTCCGATGAATGAATTTGGCCGGAAAATAGAGGAATTGGGAGAGGTGTAGTGAGGAGAAGAAGAGAGAGGACGAGAACGGAGGAGAAGAGGTGGTTTCGAGAGAGTATATTGAGCTTTGATGGCTGATGAAACAGATTTGGATAATCTTCTTGACGCCATGTGAGGTAAATTGAAGTAAATGATGTTTAGGTTTTAGGGTTTTTGAAAAGAGGAAGAGGAAGAGGAAGAGGACGGAGGTGTTTTACTTGCAGAACTTGGAGAAGAGGCAAAAGAAGTTTGTAGAAGAATTAGAATTACATCGGGAAACTTCGATTGGAAGAGTTTAGAAGTTTTCAGAACACACAGCTGGGATTCTCAGGCTTCTAATACCTAAACCGATTTTCGGTTCAGTTTGAATTCTTTCGAATTACTTTTGGTTATAGATAACCAAGTGGTATTTTTATTTTTACTTTTTTAGTCGCCAATTGCGTATGGCCAATGCGAAATAGATTCGGTATTCGATTTGATTCGATTCAAAAAATCTGGATATCCGTAAGATATTGGAGCAAAGCAAATAAAAAAATATAGTATTCGTAAAAACCGGAAAAAATCAAAAATATCTATACTATTAATTGGGAAGCATTGGATAATAAATAACCTTATGAAAGGTAAAGAATTACAAAAGATGCCATTAGGATAATTACAATCAAAGAGTAAATGAAAAAAATCGTTGAAGGGCAAAATCATAATTTAAAAGCAAAATACCCATGGATCACGGGCACCTGGATCGGTTATTTATGCGGATCCTGGGCTTATTTCCAGATCACGGATCATATACTCGATAAGACGGTTGGAAACTGTCCAGTTGTTACTTCAGATTTGGTAATCTTAACAAAATTTCCATAAAACAAAAGTAAAGATATTACCAAAACAATGGTAATCTCTATAATTTTGAATTCTAATTAAGGTGCTAACAAATTTTGTTCGTATTCACTTTCCAAAAAATCCAAATTCAATCAAAAAGAGTATATTCTTGGTCTGTCACATTTTGGAGAATATTATCCTTTGCGAGTAATATTGAACTAAATATCTCAATCTTTGCAAATCTTTTTTTTGGTAGGATCAATCTTTTTAAGTAATTCATTTTCTAAAATATATTTATTCTAGGTACCATAATACATTATTTTAAGTACCACTATCCGGTTCAACGGTCAACCCAATCCGACCATCGGATCGGTCCGAACTTTAAAATACTTATGAAACTATTATTATTTCTAATATTCATAAACCGGACTAAAACCAAACCGAATACCAAATCAGTATGAATTTAGATTATACATTTTATACCAAAAAAATATGTTTATAAAACCCCGCACGTATGTGCGGGTCCGAATCTAGTTATTTTTTAAAAAGTCAGATATTTGCTTCAATCTGTATTTATATATATATATATATATATATTAGAATATAGAATTATGTATATGCATATCATTATATAGTGTGTATTTGTATCTTTTGGGTTTGTATTGATAGTTCAATTACTGGGAAAAGGGAAAATGATAAGCTAGGAGGGATGTGTGGTAGCTCAAAAGGAGAGAGGCTCGTGAATAAGGAAATAGAGCAAAGAAGGCACGTGAAACAGAGCAAGAAGAAACATATTTTGTAACCACTTGAGAGTCTAGTGAGTTGTATATAAATAGATAGAAGAGTAATGAAGAAGTTATGCATGTATTGATGTGTGTAACAAGCGGTATGGTTTGTTAGAGGAGAGTTAGGAGATATCTTGAACAAATCTCCATTGTTAGGGCTTGGAAATATTGTAATCGTTGAAGGATAAGGAATAAAGAAGAGTTTCATATCTCAAACCTTATCAGAAATGAAGATTTAATGTTTTCTTTTTCTCACATCAGCTACATGTTAAGCACAATAAAAGGACACAAGAGCAAACAAGAAAAACACAAACTGATTAATTTAAAAACTATATCTAATGATATATTTAAAGACATGTCATGTGTTTTTAGTATTTCTAAAAAATCGAATGGAAAAACCGAACTTCATTATTCATGTCATGAGCAGATTAAGTATTACATGACCATATTGAACATTACATATATTCTTCACCCATTATTCAATGACATTAATTTAAAAGCATTCATTAACAAACACAGAAATTCACTTAGGTACCAACTAATTAATTTAGTTGGTATCACCAAAATAAAGTTTGTCCATAGCAGCCATCTCTCGCTTGAATTCAACCATTGCGTCTCTTGGCAACTTCATGATCACTTTAACTCCACCTTCCATAGATGGATCCAATTTTGAAGGTTTCAAGACCATCCCTACGTGCACTGTGCTCTCCCGTTGGGTCAATGGACGTAAATTTACGGGCTCATTCCAACCGAAGTCCATCGATCCGAACCAGCCAATATTCCTCCAATCCGTCAAGAAAAACAATCCATCGCTTATCCCTTCAAACATCACATCATCCCTCATCAATCTCTCCGTGTTCGTTAGCTCTTCCTCGATATACCCCTTTTCATAGGCTGTTTTCTTCGCTTTCTTCACACGACTCGCGATGTTAAAGATTGATGATTCTTCGAGTTCTTTCACGGTTAGCTCCACGTAGACGTCTATGTACGCATTACCGTAGTATCCTTTAGGAAGTGGTGGGTCTAAAACATGTCGGATTCCAACAGCCACACCAAGGACAGTGATCCCGTCAGGGTTTAGTTTTAGAGCTCGAGATCTTAATTTCCATACGTAAGAACTAAGTACTTCATAAGTAGTGAAACTCTCTTTAAGGTACTCACATTCCCTCATCAAAGAGTCTTTAAGCCTTTTAATATCTCCAGCGGGAATGTTTATTATCTCCGTGACCTGTTGGATAATAAATAAAATAAAATCATTTACCTAATTATTATAAAAATACAAGCAAAATGAGCTAAATAATTAAGATCATCCACCTAATATATATTCTTCTATATAACAGATCTAAAAGCTAAATGAGCTAATTAAATCATATCTTATAATATGATATTAATGGCATAATCATCGCTTAATATGATATCAATTTGATACGGAAGAAGTACATACGACATCAGTAGTTGGCAAATATGGTGAGGTGGCCAAAAGACCATCAATGTGGCTGCCGGGCACTTTGCCTGGTTTATTGTCAATTTTTCCGACAAGCCGTTCTCTCAGCCACACTGGCTTCACCGATGGCTCAGTCTTTCCGGCAGCCAACTCGGTCAAGGCATGTATGATCTGAGCCACACCGTATCCGTCACACACAGCGTGTGTCAATGCGGTGCCAATGGTGAATCCTCCACAGGCAAACTTGGTAACCTTCAAAAGAAACCAAGGGAACAATATATTATCTTAATTGTTATGTATTGAACAAAAAGAAAAAAATATACATATATATATATATATATATATATATATATATATATATACAATGTTATTGATACAATTAAGAAAATGAAAAGATACCTGCAAAGCTAGAGGGTGATAAGAAACGTTGCTCTCGTAATCGATTTCGATATCAGGCACAAGCCGCAAAGCAACTTGGTCATCGAGGTTTTCTATATAGTTTAGAGAGGAGAGGTCTAGAGTTGATGTAGCGACTTCAAATGGAACTCCCTCACCGAGATAAACCAACTGGAGCTTACCACTACTCTCACTTCTCATCAGCTTGCCTGAAAGGGGATAGTAATGAACAAGAAGTTCGGACAAAGCCTTCCTAAGCAAAGAGACAGGATCATTTAGGTTCTTTTGGTTGGCTTTGAAAACGTAGATCGTTGCGTACATAACTTCATTGAAAAGATCGTTGTCTAAAGTGGAGAGGGAGAGAGTTTCATCACAAGAAGTGTGTTTTGCGGGTTTAACAAGCTCAACTGGTTTCTTTTCAAGTAATAGAGGAAGGATTGGTTTTCTTTGATTTGACATCTTACCAATGTTAGAATGTATAATGTAAGATCTTCTAACCTCTCGATGCGGTTTATATAGACTATAGAGTGAACTGCCGGGGTCGTTGGTTTTTACGTAATATAATAAATGAATGATACAGTATATAGATATTATAAAACTTTTGTTTTGGCTGTCATAAAAAAAAAAAAAGTTGTTCTGATCCCAACTAGTTAGGCCTTGAATGGTTACTAGTTTTTAAGTGGTTTTTGGTTTTTGTTTATGGAAAAATCTATTTTTTCACCATTCAAGATTTTAAAAAATTAGATTCCCTAAAATTTAGGAAAACTAGTTTTTGAGTGGTTTCTCCAAGTTTCAAAGAGAAACTGAAAACCACAATTTTGAAGATTTTGGAGAAAATTTTAGTTTTCAACGTAATCATGTTTTTTTTTTTTTTTGATTTTTTGATTTTTTTAATTAATTTTTATATTTATAACAAAAAACCAAAAACCAAAATTTTAAAAACCAAAATCCAAAAACCAAAATCTAAAAACCAAAAACCACTTAAAAACTAGTAAACATTCTTTGGTTTGACATCTCTTACCAATGTTAATTAGAATGTATAATGTAAGATCTTCTAACCTCTCGATGCTGTTTATATATAGTGAACTGCCGGGGTCGTTGGTTTTTACATAATATAATAAATGAATGATATATAGATATTGTTAAACTTTTGTTCTGGCTGTCATCAAAAACAAAACAAAAAAATTGTTCTGATCCCAACTAGTTAGTGTAAAAATTTCAAAATTCGATATTTCTATAAACTTTTAAGTAAACATATGTAGATAATAAAAAGTTGTTATTAACAACATCTCTTATATATTCAGCAAGTGCATAGGGATGTTAAAATGGTTAACCCAATCCAACTCAACATATTACCCAATAATTTTAGAGTTAAATGAGTTCATGAGTTGACTCAACACATTAGCAAATGAGTTGAGTCAACCCATGAACTCATTTAATTTGATGGGTTAAATAGTTAAATGGATTAACCCATTAATGTAATAAATAAATTAATTAATAATTATAACAAAACAAAATAATAATAATAATAATATAATCATCAACATTATTATTTCGCGGGAAAATTATGGATTTACATATTTGGCGGGAAAGTTGCACATTCTCGTTTTTAGTTAAAAATTGTAAAAATTTTTTTTTGGGAAAATCATAAATTAAAGTTTTTGGCGAGAAAATTACGGATTTACGTTTTTGGCGGGAAAATCACGGATTTACGTTTTTGGCGGAAAAATTACGAATTTACGTTTTGGCGAGAAAATTACTGATTTACGTTTTTGGGGGTAAATCACGGTTTACGTTTTTGGTGGGAAAATTACGGATTTACGTTTTGGCGGGAAAATTACGGATTTACGCTTTTGGTGGGAAAATCACGTATTTACGTTTTTGGCGGGAAAATCACGAATTTACGTTTTTGGCGGGAAAATTGTGTATTCATATTTTTAGCGGAAAAATTAAGTATTATATTCAATCGGTTTAGAAGTTTTGGTTAGACTCAAATTGATATCGGTTTAGAGATTTGAATTGGTTTGATTTAATTTAACAACAAATGATGGGTTAAATGGGTAAACCATTGAAACCATTGACCCACTACAACCCACCTCGTCTCATTCATTAATCCATTTGACCCAATAACTCATTTGATATATCAACTCATTTGAGTCAAAATTTTCAACTCATTAGGGTTCATGAGTTGAGTTGAGTTGAGTTGAGTTGACCCTTGAATCTTAACTCATTTTAATACTCCCACGTGTGCCTATGAGAAAAAAGGTATTTTCCTTAGGTCCCTCAATATTAACTGCTATTTTTTAGGTTTGAAATTTTGTTTAACATATTAAAAGGACTGTTATCTCTAGTACTTTACAGTATAGTATTTTGAATTTTAGTATTTTTATAGATTAAAATAGTATTAAATAAGAAAGTAGATTATGAAAATAGTATAAAATTATATATTTATAGTATTTAGTACAATATTTTGTTTTCATAGAATAAAAAATAGTGTTAAGTGTTAAGTATTTCTATTTATTACAAAATAATATGTTAAATTTTAATTATAAGTTATAACACATTTTATCACGAAAATGTATATAATATATTTTTTTTTATTTAATACTTTAGGCCACCAAATCTCTAAGCATGGTCTTGTATAAATAATAGATTAATTATAAGAAAAATCTCTCTTTAAATTAAACATTATTACTCTATCGGTTAAATAAAATTAGTCCTAATAATATTTATTTATAGTGGTTTATTGTATAAATATACTTATCGAATGACACTAAAAATTATCCACAAATTTTGTTTTTTTAATATTTTACACAGTTTCAGCCATTTAAAATAGTATTTTACTTAGTAATTATAATAACAGATTTTGTAAAAGTCACATTATCATCTGCATGACCTAGATGACAGGTGTAAGAGAGCCGTCGATATTTCCTTTCGTGGTGGGTCTTACACTGGCGTTATATTATATAGCAGCATGAGTTAAATATGGACCTATGAAAGGAAGGTAGATACGCCCATGGGACGATATTTGGTAAATTTATCGATATTTCTTCTTCATTATTGGTTTTAATATTTATCAATCTTTCTATGTTAATGTTTTTTTGGTTTTCAAAATTAATATATGATATTCTCTTTGCATACAAAATGCATAATCGAATACACATTTTTTTGTGTGGGTAACTTATATTTGAATACACACTTATTAGTTACTAGTTTAATTAAAGTGCGGTCAAATCAGTATAGCAATTTATTTTTTACTCAAATGATTAGCAAATTGTATTTTTTTCTTTAACAATTAGTTATAAATTTGTGTAACATTATTTGTATATACATTGAGTCAAACAGATTATGGAAAAGATAATGTAGAGATCGTAGGGATATGGGGAAGAAAAACAGATTTTTCATTTTTGTATTTTTTTTGTCGTGGTTTAAAAAAAAAAAAAAGTAGAATTTGAGACTTAAGACAGGTGTCAAATGGTGGAAGCCCCTTTGGCCCATTGGTTGACCAAGGGTTCATTAATGCTTCTACACCCAGAGGTCTGGATTCGTGTCCCAGATACTGCGATTTATTAATAAATTTGCAGATTATTGGAGGCAAGTGTGCAGGAGATCTCCAGCGATGTACAATTATAGCCGTTCACCAGGATTCTACACAGAGAAAGAAGGGTCCATTAAGAGCATGAAGAAGGATGTGAAGGAGGTGTCCTCTGTCGTGGATCTAGTAAGGGTCGGAAGAAATTGTCCGTTGTAGAATCGTCTATGTAACAGTTCTCATAATTTGTAAATAATAAATCCAGATGATAAAAAAAAAATAGGTGTCAAATGAAGAGAGATGCAGTTATTTGGAAAGTGATTTGTGATTTATTATAATAGGATTAATCTAACCAAACAGATTGCCTTCTTTCAAAAAAAAAAAAAACAAACAAACAGTTTGATCTTATTTAATTTACTTAAGAGTTATAGACTCTATTATGACCTTTGACTAGTTCATTTGAAAAAAAGATATTTTTTAATAACTAAGAGGTTCTATACCTAGACCTGTACTTTTTATTCAGGGAAAAACAAGAAAAAGAAAAAGGTATCACTAAACACAATAATTTAAAAATAGCCATCAAATTCTACGAAAATTAAATCATTGCTCAGAATTTTGAAGTTATAAAAAAAATTATTTTTCTGAAATTTAGTTTCTTAATTAAAAAAACAAAGATTTTGTAGTCAAGTGGTAAAAATCATTAATATATAAACTGAAAAAATTATCCAAAAATTATTAGTAGTGGCAATAATCTTTTGCTTGCACTGATTATCTTTTGTGGATCTGATCACATGCATATATAACCAAGAATTTCTAATACACCTCAAACTTATAAATAAACAAGTAATCAAAACCATATCATGGTGGTTACGGAAAAAATTCAGTACCAACTACGATTGCATCGAGCTCTTATACCATTTATATTGGTTATTTTTTAGTAAGTGTCTTTTTATATAACACTAAAATTAATTATAAATTTTTTAAAGACATTCATAAAAAATAACCAATGGAGATGGTCTTAGAGACAAAGAAGAGATCTTGGAAGTTGTGCAATAATTATTTTTTTGTTGAATACGTACGATAAATAAATTTAATTTAATTAAAGTAATAAGAAGTAATATTTTTTCTTTTTTTTTGGTATCAGTAATAAGAAATAGTTTATTGACGAAAAAAAAAAAATAATAAGAAATAGTTTATTAGGTTTTCTCACTTGCAACGTGAAACTTCTTGTCGTATGTCTATTATGTAGTGGTTTATGAATTACGACAATACATGTTTTCAACGCATTACATGTGGTTCAGCTATAAGGACAAATATTCAACGAATTGACGACTATTTTTCAGATTTGTCCTAATGAAATTAGGTAGTTTACCTCCTTTAGATTAATCTTTTTGAAAAATACCCAATGTTTAATTTATATTTGATAACTAATTCTTTTTGTTTTAGAAAGACACTTTTGTCCTAATGAAAAGTTTTAAATTATATATTTGTCAGAAATTGAAAATCATAAATTTGCAGATATATTTTTATTAGCAGATAGGTACATATTATATTTTTATATTAAGTTTTTTGATAAATATTATTATATGAAACTAAATTTTTGTCTATCCTGGAAGTCTTTTTGCTCAGTTATTAAAGATCTAAAGGCTTTTGCATTAGGTATGGAGCTCGAGTACTAATATATAGCAATAGTCTCTCGTAATAAACTAAAAACTATCTTTTAATATATAGAGAATGTAATATTAGTTTAATATTTATTGTTATCATTTACAACACACAAGTAAATATAGCTTTAGAAGTAAATGGGAGAGGTCTCTAATCTTAGTTTATTTCCATTATTGGTTTAATTAAAGTTAAGAATGGTTTTTGAGAAAATAAAATTTGGCTTTTGAATTTAATATTACAAGTATTTTAACACTAGTTAATTTTATTGTTACACAAAATATATATAAATTTGGGTTTTCCGCAAAAAACAATTAGAAAAAAATACCACATTAATAAGTTTTTGTTCCAAAAATATCATCACTAGTTTATTTTCCCTGAAATACCATAAATTTTTGTATAAAATTATTTGTTCAACCAAAGTGAATTACAAATAAAATAGAAATATTATATTTGGGTTCGCTATTTACAATTTAAGGTTTATATTTCCACCATTTAAAAGAGATTGATTATTTTATTACTGAATTTGTTGTATTATTGGAAAACAAAACTAGTAATATTATTTTTGGAACAAAATCTTAAAATGTGGTGTCTTAGAGAATTGCCAAACAAAAAACCTCCAAATCATAAATTTTTACAATATATCAAATTGTAGCGGATCTCGTGACGATGAGTCCTTCTACCTTTAGAATTTGTAAAACTAATATATATGACCGTTGTTGGTGTCGGATCCCAAACTCCGTGTTCGGATCCATCCAAGATTGCCACGTAGGCGGAAAGTCAATAAAATGGAGGTCAACGGAATACATCCTCGAACCGAAGTGAATACCCAAAGCTAAGAGCTCGAAAAGCTTGCCGAAGCGGAGGAGAGCTCGAAAGCAAGCAATGGGCTGAGAGCTCGAAGGCCAAAGAAGGGTTCAAGAAAATTCAAATAGAAACTTTATGACACTAGGATTTAACCCGCGGTACACCGCGGGGCAAACTTTTATGTATTTTATATAATAATTTATAATTTATTAGATTTTTAAATTCATACTATAAAAATTTCTTTCTCATATAGTTATTTTATATTATAATTAATATAGTTAAAATATATACATATGATTTTTGAGTTGTTGTATTTGTTACTTAAATGTGTTAATTTCTATTGATGTACTTAGAAGATTTGTAGGTGTAGAAATGATATAGCGTTAATATTGGCAAGCATTTATAATCATGTACATTGCGGATCAATTTTTTAAACTAAAAATTTTAAATTTGAAGTTGTATTTGTTT